ATATATATATAAGAAAGCTAAGACATTTATTAATATTTTTGTCTTTTACTTTATCTGTACATCACCAGTCACGAACCTGAAAACTATATACATTTTGTGGTGAACTGCTTATTCTCTGAGATGCTAAGGTATTTTCTTGTAGTAAGGTTTTTAAGGATCAATAGGCATTGGGTAATCATATTAAAACACATTTAAATGATAGTGATAATGATTTATCTTTGTCAGATCAACTAATTCGCAGAATTTTTTTGATTGAAACAACCCAAATCCTAAATGAAAAAAATATATTTGAAAGATAAACCAAGCCTGAAAGAATGGAAACAACTTGTAAAAGAACATGTTTTAAGCAAAATCCGAACATTAGTCAGGAGAATGTTGCATTTGATGTAAAAGAAGCTTCTGATGTAGATAAATCTATTGAAGGACAAGACATCGATATTCTATCCTTTAGCTGCACAAGTGAATCTTAAGGCAGTGATCCATCTGACGAAGAATATGCAGCATCCAATCTGTCAGACATGACAGAAGTTAATGCTGATGATTGTGCTAAATATAATACTCTACTTATCAGAATACCTATTGATTCTGAAGATGTGTATCAAGAATTTTCATCAGAAGAATATGCAGAATTTATGCACATGTTAACACAGTTCCATATACAAGATCCACTTACCAACGCCTTTATAAAATTTTTCAACAAATACTCAAATCATAATGATCATCCATTACCGTCAACATTACAGGCCGTACTAGTATTTATAGAAAATCTAAATCTTCCAAATTTCGGTTGGCGAAAAGAAAAGATTTTTGAATACAAAGGAATAGAATATATATTTAAATACAGAATAATGCTTGACAGTGTATAACAACTAGTAATGAATAAAAGTATTACAGAAAATTTTATATTTAAATACAAATCATCTATTGAAATTGTAAGTATAGCTTACTTGAAATTTTAGAAGTTATATTAACTTATCTGATTTATAATTTGTGACCAAAGATATCAAATCAATGTCAATACATGGATATGTATGATTCTAATTGATGAAGAAATGTAAAGTAAAATCTTCCAATAAGAGTGCACATAATGCCCATTATATTATATGCCGATGGTACTCTTTGTGACAGCTTAGGCAAAACATTGCGATATCTAATATTTATGACAATTGGAAATATTCCTTTAGCTCGTCATAATAAGATCGATGCTAAAATTTTACTTGGCTATATACCTAATCTCGAATATAATAATACATATGAGAAACATTCAATACAATTTTGAAAAGCATCACGCGAACTCTTTCACTATGTACTTGCGACTATATTGAGATCATTGAGAATCTTAAGTAATACAGGAATCTATTTGTATGTCAATGATAACCTTATGTGGTTCTATCCATATTTAGCATTTATAATTGCAGATTGGCCTAAAGCATGCATGATGTGTGGCGTTTATGGTTCACCAAATTCTTTACATCCATGTCATTTCTGCTTGGTAGAATGTAATATGATGAATGATGTTCACATTGCAAAAGAAGATATTCATATTTATAATGAAAATGATATTAAGAATGCTTTACGTTATGATAAAGATAAAGAAATCTCAGTATATAATATAAGAAATACTCTGTGAAAATGACTATAAGTGTTTTCATAATCATTAGATTTATTAATACTAATCAAAATAATCAATATGATAGATCAAACCTTTAAAGCTAATAAATAATTTTGTATTTAATAGATATTTTAATATTTATACTATATGTGTACCTGATTGTATGTATCATGTGAATCTCAGATTTTTTCAGTATCAATTAAGATTCATGGTCAAATTGTTGAATTCCAAGTATAATAACAGTTTAATAAGAACTCTTGAGGAATGCCTTTCTCAAATTCCCCGTTATCCAAATCTAAAGATTTTTAAAAATGGATTTAAAAGGCTTATACAATTAATTGCAGCTGAGTATCGTGACTTGATGAAGATTATGTTATTTATATTGGATGATTTAATATCAGATAAGAAGAATCTATGTGAATTATATTCATTGTGGATTGATATATATATATAGAGCCATCAACCCAGATATACTGAAGTGGATCTTTGTAAATTTGAGGCAAGTTTATTAATAATAAGTAATTTAATGATTTAATTATAAAGATATAATATAACTAATTTTTTAATAATAGAAATC